GACTTCGAATACACGTACACGTTCTCGAAACGTACACCGTGCGGACTCTCGAGCAAACTTATGAGAACATTGGTTTTACCGCAATTCGATGGACCGCAAATAATGGCGCGTATAGTACTCGATAGTATTTCACCATGCTTGCGCTTTGTCGCGATGTCTCCCATCATTTGCGCTTTCTCGTCGTAGTTCACGACGTGTATCGTCTGCGGGTACCGCACGAATTTCATGTTCACACTGCGTTATCTAGGCTTTGATTGAACGTCTATTTATAGGCGCGCGAAACCGCGATTCGCTTAGTAGCAAAAATGTATTTCGCGCTATCGCATCTATTTGATATTTGGAATTTGCGCGCTGAACAGTTGCAATATATACCAAAAATCATATTGTTACGCATATGTGGTGACTATATCGACCACGTATGGGACAAACTTCCGGAGCATATAAAGGCGGATTTGGAGGTTCAAATCTATCGTCGCTGCGTCGAGCATTATAATCAATCGTGGCAACGCACGCATATAGACGGTCCCGCACCGAAGATAAAGGATTGTAACATATGTCAGCAGCAACGAACAAAGGCTGCGTTGGAGGACTGCTCAATCGAGCGATAAATGCGCTTCCTTTCGAGTTACATACTCCCGGCTATCAGTTTTGCGGTCCGGGTACTCGGCTGAAAAAGCGATTAGCCAGAGGTGAAAATCCACTAGACGCGGCGTGCCGTGAACACGACATTGCGTATTCTCGGAGCAACGATCTCACCGATAGACACGCGGCGGATAAGATACTCGCCGATAAAGCCCTAGGACGCGTCATTGCGAGAGATTCGAATTTGGGCGAAAAAGCTGCCGCTACAGCTGTTTGGGCAGCGATGAAAGCCAAGACCAAGATCGGCATGGGTATGAAAGCGAAAACAAGGAAAAAGACCAACAAAAAAAAAACGATACTTCCAACGACGAAACGAGGCGGCATATTACCGATTCTGCCAATGTTGGGCGCGCTCGGTTCCATGATTGGCGGAGCGGCCAGCGTGGCAAAAGCGGTAAACGACAAGAAAGCCATACAACGTCAGCTCGAGGAACTACAACGTCACAATCGCGCAATGGAAACGCGCGGACAGGGATTGTATCTCGCTCCGTACAAATACCGACGGGGACTATATCTCGCTCCGTACAAAGGCGGACGAGGTGTAACAGCGAAAAAAAAAAGAAAAAAAAACGTCAAAGAGACAATAAAAATACCTACGGGTGTAACTACCAACGTACAATTGGACCAGCTGGCGAAGCGTATGCGCGTACCATACTTCAGAGGCGTTTTCATGCGTGACGCATTACCGATTAGCGGCGCGCGTCGAAAAGAGAGCGGTATCGTAAATCTGGATGACACGATCCCGACACTCATTGGGTAGCATACGCAAAGAGAAACGATCGTGTTATATATTTCGACAGTTTCGGTAATCTTCGACCGCCGAAGAAACTGGTACGATATTTCGGAGACAATGTTATGATAGAGTACAATCGAACGTCTTATCAGACGTACGATCAGAGCGTCTGCGGACAGCTGTGTTTGTGGTTTCTTCTCCAAAACGGTCGACGCGCATGAATTTATAAAGTCTAACAAAATGCCGCCACGTTTCAATATTCGTTGAACGCTTTTCCATCATGTCGCTGACGCTTACGTTAAGAAGAGCAGCGTTCTCGCGGCAAACTACTTTCCAGCCATAGATTTGAACGACGATGACTACGAGCTTGGTCTAACAATTTTGGAGACTTATCACACGATACCGAATGTAAACGTTTCGAACAACAAATTTTATTTTGACAAAGACGACGCAGAAATTATGATTCCCGAGGGGTCGTACGAACTGCAAGCCATAAATGAATTTTTGAAACGTGAGATTTTACGAAAACATCCGCGACGCGACACATCCGATGGTAACGCCGGTGACACCGCGCGCGGCGACATTGGTGAATACCCGATAGTGTTCCGCGCAAATTACAACACGATGAGGTGTGAGATTAAATGTGATTACAGAATAAACTTTAACAAGCCCAATAACATTGGATCTCTGCTTGGTTTTTCGTCAAAGCGTATATTGCAACCGCAAAAGTGGTATAAATCGGACATGTCAATCAACATAATGAATATAAACATTATCCGTGTAGAATGCAACGTGACCGCGGGCGCGTATAGCAACGACAAAAGTGTGCACACGATACATGAATTTTCGCCGAGCGTGCCACCAGGATATAAGATATCGGAAAGGCCGATGCAAATCATTTACTTGCCAGTCATCGTACGGAGCATTACGGAGCTAACAATACGCATTGTTGACCAGAACAGACGATTGCTCGATTTCAGAGGAGAAGAGATCACTATCAGATTGCACGTACGACGGCGACGGCGATAACGCGAGCGTGACATTTGGGATGCTCGTGTTGAACGAAGCGAAGCACGCTCAGAGAGATAACGCATCTTTTATAAAGAAAACACCAATCGACAATACTCGCTCATCCGGTTGCATCAAAAAGAGAAAGAAATTCAACGCATCGAACGTTAAATTTTTACAAGCTTTAGGATTCGCGGTGCAACTTGTGAGATGACTGACATCCTAAACATCGAAGACGAGCCAATCTTTGACGATCGCATCTTCAAGATTGAAACTCATACATATAACCCGTTCGCCAATACAACGTTTGGGTACAGTGATGAGATAAGAATACCCATACAGCAACAGGATCTGTACACATTGCCGTACGAAAGCTTTCTATATATTGAGGGAAAATTAACGAAGAAAAATGTTGTCGACGGATCTGATGTGATGTTGGGAAATAATTTTGTGGCGTTCATGTTCGATGAGATTCGATACGAGCTCGATGGCGTGGAGATTGATCGTAATAGAAACGTGGGCATAACTAGCGCGCTCAAATACTACGTAACGACGTCATCCGAGAGAAGCGTGATTCTGAGAAATGCTGGCTGAGATGCGCGTACCAACGCGGATGGATATTTTAACCTTGCGTACCTCTCTACGTACTGTTGGGATTCTGCGAGGATTACAGACGCGTGGTAATCAATGCTCGTCACGAGTTGATCTTAATACGATCGCGCAACGACAACAATTGCCTGATGGGAAATTCGGCATTGGATCCCGTGATCGACTTATTCAAGATACAATGCCGCACGTATTATTGAACGAGATAACAAAACTATCGATGCTGCGCACTTTGGAGAGCGGACGATACTTGAGCATGGCTTTTCGCTCGTGGGATCTGTACGAATTTCCGCTGTTACAGCGTACAATCAAGCATTCGTGGGCCATCAAGACCGCTACTCAGCTGGAGAAGCCGCGATATGTCATCTTCGCTTTGCAAACAGGCCGAAAGAACATCATGGCCGAGGACACGAGCCGATTCGACGACTGCAACTTGACCAACGTGAAACTCTATCTGAACTCAGAATGTTATCCGTACGATGATATGAATCTGGATTTCGAAAAAAACAGATGGTCTGTGTTGTACGAAACGAACGCGCGTTTCTGCAAAAACTCTACGGATACGAGTATCTCGAGCCAAGTCTTACCCTCACGTCTTTTCTACGTTACGGTCCATTCGTAATCATCGATTGTTCTCGACAAAACGAATCAGTCAAGAGCGCAACCGTGGATGTGAGATTGGAATTTGAGACTAAGGAGAACGTACCGATGAATACCACCGCGTACTGTCTCATTATACACGATCGCGTGGTTCAGTACAACCCGTTAACCAATGTTGTATGCAAGATCACCTAAGAGCATCACTGGTATATGAGAGACAATAAAATCTATACATCGAAATCGATCGTAGTCTTCTTCTCGACATGTCTGTGCCAACGTTCGTAGACCTGCAAGGTTTCCTCATTGAAGGACAGTTTGTCGTAAAAGAGTTTGCTGCTCTCAAAGAACGGACCGTTCTCTCTCATTACATTTTCGCAAGCCCTATACCGTGGCATTTCCTGGCAAGTGCCGACAAATCTCACGCACGCTGGATGATACGTCATCATCATAGACTGCAATGGAACGACGGAACGATTCCGTACAGCGAAGCTAAAAGTTTGATTACGAAAGCTGTGCATGGTACGAAAGAAGATAACGACGACGATGACGGCGATGATGCTGTCATATATGTCAAGGGACACGAAAACGAAAATGGTTGCGGAATTTGCTTTTGGACGATGAGCGAGAGCGCGTGTACATCGAGACCCTGGATGCGGATTACGAAGACATAGATTCTTTAAATAATCTAAATGCTGATAATTCTATACGATGTGGATATCATTATACCAATTGCGCGTTTACAAAAAATGTATTTAAATTGTTTAATCGGTGGGCAGATAATCTTAATAAAACATATATAACATGTAATATATTTCTTTTATCCTTTTCTCCGCTATTACATTGATGATTACTTAATATTCCGACGATCCTATACATTTTTTTTTCAATGTAACGTTCGATCGACTCATCGATGACAAAGAAATTGCGTTATGATTGAAGCGTGAAACTTTTTATTCACATTTTTTCTTTTTTTCTCTTTACATATTTTTTATAACTGATTAGGTTTTTTTCTTGAAATAAAAATTTTATAATTAATTGATAATGACGCAATCTTTTTTTCTTTCAGTTTATAATAGTTTATAACAAAACAGTTTATAACAGTTTATAATAAAACACTATAACAGTAAACTCGTTCTCGATCTGCAATTGTACGATTTTTTGTCTTTTTTTTGGCCACTAACATGCCTATTCACGAAATACTATCATAATAGAGTATTGTCGTTCAGCGAGGTCATTGGATTTTTTGTCCACTTCATCTTTCAAATGAGAGGAAGGGGGGATTAACGCTCTGCCGTGTCAAAATTTACGCGGGTGCGATCAGTCCTCCGTCATTCGTTTGTACAAACGAACCACACGCAATGTACTCCGCCAAAGGAAGCAGTGCACTGTACGATGGTGAAACGAAGAAGGAACGTAACGCGTAAGTTCGACATTTTCTTTTTTTCTTTTTGCAACATTACGCAGTATTATGTACTTAATTGCTGTTACACAGCATTTCGATGGAGCCTCGCGCGGTGCGCTTGATGAGCAGACGTTACAACCTGACAGCTACGGGCTTTAAGTTTCTGGAAATTGGAATCAATGTTGGTCCACCGAGCTACGTAGAGATCGCCCTAGGAGATCATCGAGGACAAGAGCTGATATTGTCTCTCGAAACATGGAAAGGATTCCATGAGCAGCAATGGAATATCTACAAATTGCTACGAAACAATTACAAAGACAATTTTATAAGTCGGACCGTTAACAGTCCGAGTTTGTATGATGAACAACGTTACACTCGTACGTCTTGAATCTTCAAACGTACGCATTATGATGGTCGAATCGACGCTACGCCGTATGTTTAATCTCGCCGAATGTATTGATATAACGTTCACTCAACTAGACAGACTCGTTGAAACGATCGATGAAAAGTATACGCGATTCTCCAACATTGCGTCTATTATAACAAATCCCGAGGAGGTACCATACGTGATACGCGATAGCGATATCTTCGATAGGCATCAACTCGTCGATTGCGAATTGTTAGCTTTAGTTTTTAGTATGTATGAAAAAAAGACGATGTAACAAAAATGTGAATAAAAACGTTTTCACGTTTAAAAATATGATTTCAATCAAAACAAATTTTCCTATTTCCCATCAAAATAAAATAATATTTCAGTTATAATAAGATATTATTTATTGGTATAATCAATAAAAAACATCAATAAAAAAGGGTAATATCTTTTTTTTATTGAATTCATTTCATTTTTCTATAATTCACTTTTTTTGTAGTTTCCCATTTTCCGTCGCCATCAAAATTTATTGTTTCCTACGTGAGAACTTGATCAAATAGAAATGCACATTCAATATTTACTAGTAAAAAAAAACAAGAAAAAAATCAAGGAAAAGTGTCCATTTACCGACTAATACATTATTTTCATTGAATAACGGATTTTTCGAGATTGTTCGAAATGAACATGTTGCGACACGTACATTTATTGCAGCCAGAATAACGGCGCTTTTTTTTCCTATGTCAATTTCTACAAAAAAATATCTTTTCTAGCAGCTCTTCCTAGACAAAAAAAAGACCCCCTCCCCCCCTTCCCCCTCAAAAGTACATTCCAAAGGATCATCGACAAAGCATTCCCCCTTCCCCGTGCCTACCAGTTACCTCCTCTCCTTTACCCCCGCGTCCCCGAGTTACTCCGCACACCCGCACCCCGCTCGGAGCTCCTGGATTAGAACCGGCCTAGTATTACTACTAAATTTCATCAATACATTGATATAAACTGAATATGTATTAATAAACAACTGAGAAAATCATAGCCAATTCCTCGGTAAGTAGAATCTTAGTTGCTAAATTTCTATATGAAATAAATTTAAACAATTTTATCATCAACCATATACCCCTATTTTTAACAAACTTACAACGTAGCGTTTCTATAATAATTCAATAATTATTGTAGAACTACTATATTGTATAAGTCTGCTAAAAATAGTGAAATACAAATTTTCGTGGAAACAAAACACGTTCCATCCACCTAACCCAAAGGAAACTAATATACAAATTGAACATACAAATTTCGACGCTTATATTGATCTATGTACTGTGATCATCCGTAACATATGAGAACACCTTTATAAAAACCTTGCATCTGATGTATGAATTTAAATTGGCCACGCACTGATTTACACTCGAAACTATGCCTATTGCCTCATTCTACCCGGACCATGGCCAACATATATTTTACAGAACATACAGTCCCCATAATAAGTGTCTGGATTATTAAAATGTCTGGTTGCGTTGCCAAAAATTGTAAAAATTTAACAAGGAAGAAATTTAAAATGTCTCTTTTGAAAAGAAAAAGACGTACAAATTGTGTGGATAAATAATATAGGACGGAATAATTGGCAGTTTCAAAAACGCATTTGTGTGAAGTATGTAGTACATTGATACATACCCTCTTTTTATATTCTATATCTTTTTTCATTTTATTATTTGCATAAATTCATTTTGATAACGATCAATGGGAAAAAATAAGAGTGAATGGAACCAAAAAATTAAAATGGTAATAATGGTACTCTAATAAAACACACCGTGACGTTGGAATGAATAATTTTTATTGACTTAGAACATGAGTTGCAAAGTGGCATGATAGCTAGTGCTAGTTGTTTTGATGCAGATAAAATATACTAAACTGACACCCCCACTTATCAAAATAACAATCCATTTATCATTAATTCCTAACTTACTCATAAACTCAAAATGTTTTACACGACACAAACCTTTAGTTAACAAGTCAGCAGGCATATCTGTGGTTGATATATTTTATTTAAATGATTAATTATTTTTAACAACATCTCGAACAAAATCTCGAACGAAAACGAACATCTATATGTTTGGATCAGTTATATGACTGATGACTTGTTGCTAATTTTAATGCACTTTGATTATCACAATGCAAAGTAACTATACATAGTATACCTGTAATCTCATCAATCAATTTTCTTAAATATACAACTTCTCTTGCCGCCTCAGAAAGGGCTACATATTCTGCCTCTGTGCTAGATAATGAAACTGTTTTCTGTTTTCTACTTGTAATGAAATTACAGATCCAGACATTATAAAACAAAACCTGTATAGGATTTTCTATTTAAACAATCACTTGCTCAGTCGGCATCAACAAAACCTTCCAATTTTAAATTAATATTTTCTTTACTATATTTTAAACAGTAATTTTTAGTTTTCTTTAAATATTTTAACACTCTCTTGGCATAATGCCAATGTTGTTCATTATAACAACTGTTAAATTGGCTTAAATAACTTATAGCATATGAATATCAGATGTAGTCAAAACAGAGAGGTACATCAAGCTGCCTATTAGTTTTTGATAAGGAATTTGAGTATACAACTATCAGATTTTTTAATGTTTAACTTATACTCAATGGGAGTATCTACAGTCTTACAGTCAAACATATCAAACTTTAACAACAATTGTTCTATATATTGTTCTTGATCAACTGTGATAAAATTATATTCTCTGTTTACATTAATTCTCATACCTAGATAACATCTTACAGGCCCTAAGTCCTTTTTTAAAATTTTGTACTTAAAATTTGCTTTAATTTTTCTGTCTCATGAACATTGAAAATATCAAAAAATCATCAATATATACATATGTAATAATGTAATAATCATTTTAACTTTATTATTCATTTTAACAAACAAACATGGTTCATATTTGCTATTTTTAAATCCCAAATTACACAAACAATCTTTTACTTTTTCATACCATACTAATCATGATTGTTTTAAACCATAAATGGCTCTGTTGAGTTTTAACACTTTTCCAACACATTCACTCTGATAACCTTCAGGTATTGACATATAAATATTTTCTTTTAAGAGTCCATTAAGAAAAGCAGTAGTAACATCTAAGTGTGTGATATCCATATCTATTTGTACACTTATTGCAAACAATAACCTTAATGTTGAATGTCTCACAATTGATGAAAAAGTGTTCTCATAGTCTATTCCGGGTCTCTGGGTAAAGCCCTTTGCCACAAGCCGTGCACGATACCTCACTTTATTGTTCACGTCAACCTTTTTATTAAAAATCCACTTACACTTACAAAATACACTTCACTATGTTAGCGCTATTAGGAACATCGACGATCTCCCAAGCATCATTCTCCTTGAATGCCTGTAGCTCTTCCTTCATTGACTGCTTCCACAGTTCAGCTTCGGGTCCATTCATAGCGTATTTGAATATGATGTTATCTGTTCCGGGATTGCACTGGAAACACACATGTTGTTGATTCCATATCTTTGTGGAGGTTTTCTCAATCATTTTTTCTATGTTTGGACTTGAATCTGATTCACTTTCTTCTATTTCTTGGATAGTTCTGTCTGGAGATTCTTGTTCTAAGAATTCTTCTTCATCTACATACTGATGACTGTGTGGATGAATTCAGAGATTCTGGAATATTCTCCGACAACTCCCCCACTGAATCTCTGCATTCAGGATCCAGAGAAACTGGAGTATTTTCTATTAGTTTCTCCACTGAATCCTTGTCTTCAGAGTTCACGGATACTGGGATGTTCTCAGAAGATTCCTCCACTGAATCTTGGCTTGCTTCAGTTATGTCACTCTGAAACCAGATAACACTTTCTGTGTCTGTATTTCTCATACCTTTCTCATCTTCCATCACAATCACATCTCTGCTTATAGTAATTGCATTTGTACTTGGGTCATAAACCCTATAGCCTTTAACGGTTTCTAAGAATCCAACTAGAATTAACTGCTTGACCTTTTTGTCCCATTTCAGTTGCTTTTGTTTGGGAATATGTGTCATCACTGGACTACCAAACAGGCATAAGTGACTTAAATCTGGTTTTATTCCGTGCCACACCTCATATGGGGTTTTATTATCTAATGCTGAAGTAACTGACCTGTTCTTGATGTATACCGCTGTGTTTGCTGCTTCAGCCCAGAATTTCTTATCGAGCTTCGCATCAAAATTGAGACATTTGGCCTTTTCTACAACAGTTCTATTGGCTCTTTCACAAACTCCATTCTGTTCAGGGATATATGTCGCAGTTTTCTGATGTATTATTCCTTTTCTTTTCAGATAATTCTCGAAGTCATGGCTACAGAACTCTGTGCCATTATCAGTACGAAGTATCTTTATTTTCTTTTCTTTTTAGTTCATTTAAACTCTTTAAACTATCTAAAGACTTCACCCTTTTGTTTTAAGAATGTCATACGACTGTGATCATCAATGAATAGGTGATCATCAATGAAAAGGAAATATCGAGCACCTCAATAGATTTTGTCTCCATAGTCACATACATCTGCATGTATAATCTGTAGTATATCTGTATTCCTATTGCTCGCATGCGGAAATGGCAATCTGGCCTGTTTAGCTTCACAACAGGTCGCACAATTCTTTTTTGTCATGTCGAAATCTGTAGGATAAGACAATCCTTCAACCAGCCTGTTCCTCATTTTATTCATGTCATTAGTATTTAGGCGTGCAAGTGCCACAACCACTTGTTACTGCCGAAGCAAGTAAACAATCTCTAACTTGAATGTCTAACTTATAAATCCCGTCGGTTAAATCTACTGTTGCAACCAACTCATTTCTCTGGTTTTGGATGTAACAACGTTTTGCTTCAAACACTACATTGTTATCATTTTTTATAAGTTCACTGACTGACAACAAGTTTGTGGTTAAACTGGTCACACAAAGCATATTTTTCATTGTTATGTCGTATTCGTAATTTGTTGTAATCTCAACGTCTCCGGAACATAGCACAGACACTTTCGACTCATTGGCTATTATTATTTCTGGCAAACTTGGTGAATAATTAGCGTTTTTTACCCAGCGTTTATTTGCTGTCATATGAGCACTCGCTCCTGAATCTAAATACTTATTTTTATTGTATTTTCCGTTCAGAAATACCGCACTAAATGCATTTGATTGTTTGTTTTTACTAAACATTGGACATTGGTTTTTGTAATGTCCGTTCTGTTTGCATTTGTAACAGGTTATCTTTTTTCCAGATGTTGTCGTGCCGCTGTACTTG